ATAGTGATTGTTTCTTCGATTGTTGCTTGAATAACTCCGCAACGCTGATAGTTACCGAGTTCGGGTTTTCACTGTTGGAAAGAGGATGAATGCAGATATCTGTTCACATCAAAGACCAAATCCGAGAAGCCGAAAGGTAGTTCTTTCTGTTTGACATTGTGCACATTTGTTCAGATTCTTCAAACGAAACTGTCACACAATTGTGTTCTACTATTAACCATTTACGTTCAGAGAGAGAACAAGACACCGCACAGAGTATTTCTTCTTCAAAGTGCACGATTCCTGAAAATGAAGATAATATTGACATTAATCGTCGAACATCAATGACTCATTCATCGCAAGAATCCAACAAATATTCTCTTCAGTCAGCTCAAGCACAAAACGAACATTCAACGAGTAATATTTTTTATGGTACTGGTATACATCAATCCTCAGCTTTGAACAATCCATGCAAAAAACAAGACCGGTCTATTACGAAAGCTGTCTCCAACTCCAATACTCCGAGATCGGTTGAGAAGTATGATGACTTATAATAGATGTAGATCATCACAGTCGTCTGTTGCATCGCATCGAAAAAATAGATCTACTTCATATGCTGTTGAAAAGAAACTAGCTAACAATGGAACGAATCCCACGTCAAACGCTGCTAATCGCACGTATCAACTAAAACCTGTGAAAGAATGGATAAGAAAGAATGTGTTAGACTTTTTTCATGAACACGAATTCGAAATAATGTTACCGTTACTAGATCCAAAAATTTGGATGGTCGCCTGTTACATGACTTTTACCAGATGTGTACATCTAAATCGGATCGCATGTCAGCATTTGAAATGTTAAACAACGAATTACAAAACTTACACGGCACAATATTGCCAATGAATCTTTTCATACGTTTTATGAATGAGATGGAGCCGTTAATGAAGATTAAGACACGTGTTCTGTGGCATTAAATACTACACATGCTTGTAATAATAACGTTAACGTTATTTTTGTTTCTTTTTAACCTCGAATATATTATTTACTTTAGTCACCAATTACAGATAGATCTTGCAGTATTTCATGCGTTCAACGTCTAGTTGTCATACGTCTCATCTAATTTACTTGCGCATGCAGTAGATAGTTTCGTGAAAATCACGGTAAATTGTTTCAGTTTTTGTAAATTATTCATAGTAATTACAGGCATATTACCCTGTTGGGATATGACTCGTGAGGGAAAAACCTTTTATTTATCGAAATAATACTGTCATGCCTCACATACAGAAAACTGTACTTCTTAATGATACGGCTTGTTGGCAACCTGACAACATCTTTTCTTGGGATTCAAAACTCATGTACTACGCAAGCATCTATTTGAAGTTTAAAAAATGTCTGTGCATTACCTGTCATGACTACTACCCATTCCAAAACATGGTGCTAGTGGTTGTTTTACGAATAACTTTTGATAGAGATGAGATAGCGACCTGCGGTTTTCAGTTTTGAAAACTAGATACCTGACCACATATTTCTGTAAGCAAAAGCAACTTTTGAAAGAACTGAAAGGAATGTATTGATTTTTTCTCATGGACTGGTAACCCGGGGTGTTCTCTTCAAAATGGGAGTAAAGCGAGACCTTGATTTCCTGCGGTTCGGGCGTTGTATCGGATTTTTGATGAGTCCCAGGACTGGCACTCGGTGACTCTTGGTCGCCTTAAAGACGGATGGACTATGGATAATCAACCATGCTGAATCTGGTGGCAGTATTGTTTTTTAGAAAAAGTTTTAAAAATCTACCGAAAAACCAGTTTTACGAAAATAAAGGTTTTCAGGCTGTTTTCAACTAATATTAAAAAATTCACTATTCACTCAAAAAACATTAGAACGGCTTCAAAATCTCAGGATATAATTAATATTGTCCGCTAAACGTGATTATAAGATCGAAAAAATCTAAAAGCATAGTTTTGTTAATAGGTTTTCCAGAAACCCTGTTGGAAAAGCTTAGGGTCTTCTGGAATTTATTTCGAGATCTTCTACAAAGAGATACAGAATAGCTAAAATACTCTACATTCTGAAGTTTTTAACTCGTTCTGATGTTTTTTGAGTGAATAGTGAATTTTTTAATATTAGTTGAAAACAGCCTAAAAACCTTTATTTTCGTAAAACTGGCTTTTCGGTAGATTTTTAAAACTTTTTCTAAAAAACAATACTGCCACCAGACTCAGCATGGTTGATTATCCATAGTCCACCCGTCTTTAAGGCGACCAAGAGTCACCGAGTGCCAGTCCTGGGACTCATCAAAAATCCGATACAACGCCCGAACCGCAGGAAATCAAGGTCTTGCTTCACTCCCATTTTGAAGAGAACACCCCGGGTTACCAGTCATCAAGTTTCGATGTTCTCGACATTTTCGTATAACGTGCGCCCAACACATAAGTCGTCGTACTGATGATAATTCTGACATGACACTTGTCACACCTGACGCACCATCAGCCATTACATGAGAAATTGCAGCCAATGAGAAAAGCCAGCACTCCCCTTTGTATGGAGCATTGTTATTTGTGAATACTCCCAGTTTTATACTAACCTGAATTCCACGAAATAATGTTTTAAACGTTTCGGAAGATTGATCGGTTGAAATCAAGCATAAACCAATTGGACGAAAATGACGATGTAGATCACTGGTGCCAAAGACCACAAGTGGTAATTCATTGGTTGTTATTTTGTACGTACAATCGATGGTCAAAACTTTTGAATATTGACATGTCGATAATAATTGACGAGTGGTTAAACAAATGAACGTGTTATCGACGTCAGTTACTTCAAAGTGCGGTACAAATACCTGATGTGGCAATGATGTTGGTGGAAAATGATTACGACCTAAACACCAGGCCTTTAAGTCTTCAATAAATTTTATACTGCAGCGATTCTTTTGCCGATGTGTGCGTGCAACATTCGGAATTTTTATTATATCGTTTGATAATTGAGGATTGAACACGGTAACTGCCTTTTGAATTTGTCGGGGTGTTAAACCGGTATCTGTCATTAGTACGATGTTGTGTCGAACAGGCGATG